TGAGGTGAATTTGAATTTGATGAATTTGATTAAATTGAACAGAACGGGTGAATTTGATTGAATCGCTGAGATGAGATAAACCTCAGAGTAGTTTAATTTCCCTTCCCGCACAATGCTTACAACAAGAAACAGTAATATTCGAACTAACTGCCTGTGGTTTACTAATCTTCTCATCGCATGGCGTTCTCTCGCACAACTTCACAATATCAGTGGATAAAGCTTGTTGAACGTTTGCAAGAACTGATTCGGGAATGACGGCTGATGGCGAGATGAGTGGCTGTGTGCAGTCACTGACGATCGGTTGGGTGTGGGCGAGTGGTTGGCTAAAACATGGATTAGGTGGAGAATGTGGCCGGAGAATGAGCAGTAGGTCATCGAGAGCTTTGCGGTGCTGCTTGAGGGCGCTTAATAAACGTTCCCGTTGCGACAGCAATTCGTCGGCTCGTATACTCATCGCCAAAAACTTACATCGCCAAACATCCGAAGATATTTCCAGATCCTCTGCACGATCGTGATCGACACTCAACTGAATTTCGTCTCAATATTTTTAGAATATACGCGAAGATAACTGGAGTGATCTTGAAGAGGCTTATGTACGAAACGTACAATAACAGCTGAGTAAATAAATAAATACACAAAGCATCNACAAAGCATCACTGATGGTAATATTAAGGAAAATAAAACGGCAATTGTCATGATAAGAAAGTTAATAATAACAATAATAACATAATAATTATAAACTAATAACAATAATTATTAATATAACAATAGCAATATTAGCATGTATGAATGCGAAAAACGATAGTGCTTGAAAAGAACGACAGCAACGGCAATATACCTGTGTAGCGAATGAATTCATCGTTGACGCTAAACGAACTTTATCTTCAGTTAACGAATTAATCTGGCACATTAAATCCTCACCCATCGACGCGACTAATAATCGCTTCAGTTCAGCACTGACTTGCCTCGAGGTCTGAAAATATTTCAGTTGGTAGTAATGATGTGAGTCGATATGAGACTAAACTGCCATTCTTCACAGTTATTTCCATCATTGCTATTAAGGGAATGAACCGATTATTATTTCTACTGATATGAATAATGGAATGACACTGATCCGCTTAACTGGTGAGACTATCAAATGAAAGTCAACCGAAGGAGATAGGTTGGAGAAAGCTGATTATTATTCCAGTATTTTAAATTCTTTTCAAAATCGCACATTACTTTACTGATCATTGCATCTTTCGGTTTTTTTTCTGTGGTATCTTATAGCAGCGATTCGTGAAAGTTGAAATCGTTACACCATTTTGAAAGTTAATCCAATTTGAGAAATGATCAAGAGGAAATGAATACAAAAAAATAAGGAGTGTGTTCACTTCACCTCAAGTTCGGCTTTCAATCGCTCGATTTCAGCCTCATATTTCTGGATTATTTTGCTATCTCTGGCTGGATCAATAACACCATTTAAATTGTTGCATAACTTTATATCACCGTTGATAATCACTGTAGAAGGATTTGCGTTTGCTTTATAATCAATACCACCGACTTTGTCGATAGTTGAATCTTAAATTCGAATTCTACAAATGCCTTTCAAGAAACCATTATCGAAATTAACATAACTTCCCACTCATTTCACCAGATGATTCGAAATTTTCAATGAGTTTGATCCAAAATCTGTTTAGTGCTTATGAAACAGAACAGCAATCAACAAAAATAAACCCAGTCAAAGTTATCGGTTGTGATATTGCAACTGGAATGCTTCAGAGAAAAGTTAGATTTACTGAGCGAGGAAAAAACCAAAAAGTTGATAGAGGAACCGAATTTATTGGATTGCATATTGTGTTGATGTGATGATTGTTGGATGTGGTGATGAGTAGTTGTTGAAGAGGACGAAGATGAGTGGTGGGGATCGTGTGATGACATCTGATAGGGGATCAATGATGCTGCTGGCATCACCGGTGCTGCTGTTGCTTTCAGTTCTGCTGATGTAGCCGCCTGGATTATTCAGAATATCATTCATTTCATTTGATATCAATCACGATATGCCCTCAGTTATCAACAAAGATCACTGCTGTCAGCATTTTTCAGTTCTTTCCTTTCGTATAACCAACACACGATATTTCTCATTACAGTGATTCACCGATCTTCTTGATTCTTAAAATCCATCGGACCTTTACAACTTCAAAGTTGATTTTGTTTAACGTAGATGATATTTGCACCTAACAAAACATCTTAAACGGTTAACTTCTTCACACTGACAAGTCAGCACGACTCTTATTATTGCTAAGGCTCATTACAGTTTCTGCTCATAAATCCCATCAAATAATCTAATCATCCAACTGAATTATAGCTGAATGAAAAACAATCTAACATACAGATCAACATCACAGATGCATAATACTGATCCTAACTTAGATCACGTTACAATTTATCGCACTAAAATGTCAACTGGTTGTATTTAAATATTAAGCCAGAATATTCATTTATCAAATGTATTTTTTAACAGTTCTGAGAGCATAAACTCGTCAAACATGACGATTCATCAGTATCAATCTGTACGTTTTACTATGTCTTTTATGACCTTCCATCATCGGATTGGACATCCCTATAGCCATGAGATCGCACTTACTGCTCCGCTCTCAGTGCCGATAATCAATGTTCCATAAGCTAATAGGAAATATCAACACGTTAACTCGAACTCTACCGACAATAAATAATCTAATGTTTGACTCACGAACATCGCTCGTTTTGGTTATGCATTTAGGTATCTATACTGATTTCTGATGTGCTCCTTCGATTAATATTTAGTGTTATGAAGTATGTATAGTTTGACTAGATCAATTCTTCAATTCATTTCTAATAATTACCAAAGTGGAAATGAGAAAACTGAAGTGGAACGAAGCGAATGATTGCAATCAATCAAAAAACCTTATATGGTTCCCATAAGACGAGTTTAGATGAAGATCCTTTTTTCTTGATCTCGTCTCGGCATCGAGGATTCGCTGGCGACACTGATTGCATTTCAATAATTCAAATTCAATGCAGTGCGCTTTCGGCGAGAAACCTTTGGACACTTAAAAAATTTCAGTTTCATTTGCAATCAGCCAAATCGCTTAAACCACAACAACAACACTGACATCTGATTCCGACTGAATGTCCTCTCAATTCATTGAAAACCGTTATTCTGGCATCTAGCAAATGCCATAAGAACAACTACCCACCTAAACGAATTCAAGCTTCAGATAATCGCTTCTCAAAATCCAAATCAAAGAGTTACTTTTATTCTCCCTGTTGTACCAAAAAAAATGCAAAAGAAATTGAATAGAGGATCTCGCAGAA